AGCTGTGCTTCTTACACATTTCCACTAGCGGAGGGCACAGGGAATGCATATGCCCAGGTGCCAAAGCATCCCATCTATGTAGAGAGTTTTCTTTTAGTCTCCTGTTTTCCCTTAATCCTTATGAATAGTTTACCTTCTATTTATTGTCCTTGATTAAGTATATAAATAATGACCACATTTATTTATTTTTAAATAATCCTTTATTGTTGAAAGTATTGCATATGTCCCCCATTGACCCCCACCAGCCCGTCCTCATCCCCCCAACCCTTGCCCTCACCGCCCCGTTGTCTGTGGCCATGGGCCATGCATATATGCATGTAAGGTTCTTCAGAAATAAACATACTGTTCCCAAGCAGAGGCATTAATGACCACATTCATTAAACATTAAATCACTTCCATTCCCCCCAAACTGGTTGAGTAAATTTGATGCCCCCAGATGGTCACTGTGAGAACCGGCTTCCCCCTTCTTGGTTGACTATGGCCTACTTGAGTGAAAAAACTGCTTCTTATTCCTTTCTATATTCCCCAGTATCTGGCAGAACGCTGGGCATAGAGTCACTATTAATAAATGTGAGCTTGTGTTAAATGTATGCCTGTGTCCCCTATTAGAGTATATGTATGATGCTCAATAAATATTTCATATAGAATATTGGAGGATAGTATGTTTACAATAGAAACATGTATTTTTAATCTTGTAAAAACCTCTGTGTGAAAAAAATATGTACATGTTTTTGGTTCTTGACTTTCAACTTGACTTACTGAGATGTCTAGACCATATGGGTGTAAGAGCAGTTCCTCTTTGAATACAGTGCTCTATGTAGTCAGCATCAGAGTTTTCGGATCTGAAGTTTTCCTGTGGCTGCGTATTTAGACATTCTATCTGGTTTCTTTTTGGTTTTTTTTCATGGTTATTTTTTATATTCCTATTTCTTTGACATCCCCTCATTATTCATATTTCTTTAAATTTGATGAGCATATTTATTTCATGATAATTGTACTTATGTCCGATTCTGTAATTTTTTTCCTTTGCCACATGAGCTCAGAGTGGTGGATTGTTTCTTGCATATTGTGATTTTTATTATTTATTTATTTATAAATATGTATTTATTGATTTTAGAGAGAGAAGGGAGAGGGAGAAAGGAGAAAAAGAAAACATCCATTGGTTGCCTCCCATACGCACCCCAACCAGGGACCAAACCACAACCTGGGTCTGTGCCCTGACCGGAATTGAACCAGTGACCTTTCAGTGCATGGGATTAGTGCAACCAACTGAGCCGCACCAACCAGGGCCATATTGCGATTTTTAATTGTGCGTTCACGTTCCCTGAAATTTTATCTGTGTGATTTCTTTGAGGCCTGGTTTTAAAGTGACTTCATGCTCACTTTTCCAGTGCCTGGGACCATTTTAAAATGCATTGTGGGTTTCTCTGAGCCATGTAGCTGGTGTGATTTCTGGCTCTAGTCCAGCATCAATTCAGGCTTCTGGTTGGAATTTGCCCTTCCCCTTCAACTCCCCAATTCACCTAGAACCAAACCCTTAAACCCAGACAAGTTCCTCCACTATCTCGCTTGTTTTTTTTCTCTTTATAATCATGAAAATGTCACTTTTCGGGCTTTCCAAATTCACAAGGAATCTTTGACCTAATCTCCATCACAGTGGCCACAGTTTTGTTTACTACCTATGTACTTAGGCACCTTCTAGTTTAAATGACTTGGAAATCTCATCAGGATTAGCAGATGTGTCTAGGGAAAACGTGCAGCATGGGGTGGGGGTAGG